CCCCCCCCCTCAATGCTGTAACAACAGGAGGGTGAACATGAGCCATTGATGCTGATTCCTCAAGATAGGACAGGATGGAATCAATGGTCATGGCATTGTCAGTGGGTTCAGCATTAGGAAGCATAGTGGGCATAACTAGGTACTCAGCTCCAGGATCTGAGCTACAGTAGGGGACAAACATGTTGCAATATTTGCAACAGTTGTGTTACTAGGCCTATATCTAATGAACCAGCCATCCAAATATAGTAAATATGGGTACCATTGATCTGGGCTATATGATAGACCCCACAAACATGTGATATGATTAGGTATTGACTGAGTTATTGATGAATTGTTACCCTAAACCCATTGCAACAGTTTTGTCCCCTGCATATGTAACTATGGAAATCTACTCTGTTTTGCCTGTAAAAAGTATATAGTGTGGGAAAGGTGTCATCTGATGATGTATAAGTGTAAGGAGGATACAAAGAACCCTAAACAGCCTCTTGTTCTTGACTACCATCATCATAAAAGTACTTTTTAATGCTCAGACTGACAACATCCTCCCTTTGCATAATCTGGGCCAGTCATGAGGGCAGATATCCCATACAACTAGTGTACACTACTGTACTTTCAGCAGAATATATGCCAGACTTTGTCCCAATCTTCTTAAAGCTACTAGAGGCCACCCTTCTAAGCTTTCTCCTACTGCAATTTGCTATACTATCCACCTTATTAGCTCTGGAAAGGCTGACACTGCTATAGATGTGGGGAAAAGGCTCAAAAATCATAGTGGAGGGGTGTCAAGGTATTGATTGCCCTGATACTTAACACCAAAGCAAAACCCTAACCCCAACACTCACTATTGGTGCTGGTAGTTGATATAGATGTTTAGCTTTGTGGGCTGGTTGCTATAGGAGCTAGTAGGCTTAGAGTAGAGTGGAGTGAGTTGATGAGTGTAGATGAGTATAACAAGTCTGCCCTCTCAATGCTGGATTGCTCTGGTATTTTATACATGAGGGACCAGACCCCTAATACTACTGGTAGTACACCTAACACCTAGGCTGACTGATGCTCTACATATGCCATTGGCTATCTAAGAATACCTGATGTGTGAACACTCTGCCTTATGTTGAGTCAGTAGCTCAACTGTGATGATCACCTGAATGACTGTGTGTGGTTCTAGGTGTGATGGGGATATTCCCATGTGATGGAGATATTCCATAGCCTTGCCCAACTGACAGGCTAACCACCTGACTAATTTCAGGGATTTCTCTGGGTAATTCATCCCTAGCATCTATCTGTGCTAGTGGTTCATCTCCATATGCATTGTCTTGATTCCTCCAAGGATTCTTGCCTGCATTTTGACATTGTGATTGACATTGCATTGGGCAATCAATAATTGGTTTATTATGTCTATGCCTTGGGCATGGTAGAGATTGAGGCTCATGTTCTCCCACTGGCTCTTCATGCCCTTATTGGGGAACAGATGGGTTCTCCAAAATAAGTTCTGGGGGAGGTATAGAAAAGTCATCTAATTCTTGATCAGATGATTCAGGTTGGTTTGGATCCTTTTGAGAAGCAGGAGGATCCAGATCCTTTTATACAGGGAAACACTCTTTGTCAAAGGTCACATCATGAGACACAACAAATGAATGAGTGGCTGATTCTATGATTTACATCCCTTGGAACCATATTCATAACCTACAAAAATTATCTCAACAGTGTTCTTATCAAGTTTTCTATTTCTATCTTCCTTCTGCACATGCACAAATGCTTTACACCCAAATACTCTAAAGTATGAGATGTCTGGTTTATGTATAGACCTGTCCCAGGGGGTAATAGGGCATCTCTATTCCATCTGGTGCATTGGTTATCTGTTATGAACACAAACTGCAGTTTCAATAGCTACAGCCCAAAAACCATGACTGAGACCTGAGAAATGCAGCATTGACATAGCTTTCTCAGTGATAGTCTTGTTCCATCATTCTGCTTGACTGTTTTGCTGAGGTAAGCATGCAACTGTCTTTTGGTGCTCAATACCATATTGTTCCATGATCTCACAGAAGGCAGAAGAAGTGTATTCCCCCCCATGATCCAAGCATAGAGTCTTAATTCTCTATCTTGTCTGATTCTCAGCGCAGGGACAACTCAGACCAGTACATTAACACTAACAGAAGTGGACATTCTGCCTTGACACTTCCTGCCCTAACCAAAGTAGGGATAAGACCTAAGCAACAGTAGTAGAAGCACTAGTACCCATCAGAAGTCATAGAGATAGACGCCATATAGTCCCAGCCCTTGCAGCCACACACATAGATGTATCTCCAGTTACAGTACCCTCCTACCTAGCTCCTACAGCAGCCTCTAGCAGTAAAGAAAAGGTGTAACACCCAGACAGTTGCCTATCCAGCTACCAGTACAGACATTCAAAGAGGAGGATAGTCCAGTCAGTACAGTGCCCTAAGCTAGTATTCTTGACACCTTATGGGATACACCAACCAGAGAAACACCAGCAGTACCCCAGTCGACAGAACCCATAGTAGGTCCCTCTAACCCAAAGTGAGACCCCACACCTCCTCCATCTTCCCCAGAGCCCAAGGATACAACCCACAGGAGAGAATTCAGGAAACCCCAGAGATGATGAACCCAGTGACCAGGAGAGCAACATGGTAGATGATGATAGTTGAAATGGTGCAGTCAACAAGCCCAGTATCTGTGAAGGAGACAGAGCAAAGAGTCAATAATTCCTAGGGGAACTCTACCTCTACTTTCTAGGCAACTCTAAATGTATCAGGATGGATGCTGATAAAGTTGAATGCATCCTGTTCTACATCAAAGGAGCTGTTGAGACCAAGATGAAAGGATGGTCTGCCAGAAGCTCAATAATATGA